CAGTTTACCATTTCTATCTAATATTTTACAACGTTTGTGACGAGGGAAGAAAAATCCTAATACATCTAAATATTCATGTATAATGCATAATTAAAAGCGAAAACACTTTAAACATTTCATCAAGTCAGAAACCGGACAGGAATCCCTCCTTAAATTAAAGATCACAGTGACCATGAAATAGGTCGCTACACACCCTCTACCTAAGATGCAAGTACTGCAGTTTTGGCCGAGTTTGGTGATTCTGGGTCTTATAGTTTTAAATAGTATTGAGTTCGCCTGTTGTGAATTTGTCAAAACCAGATTTATTTGGTCCGTAGAGACGATTATATGAAAGCTTGGATATGGATAAAACATACAAATTCCTTAAAAATATTTTTAAAAAAAGGGAATAAAAGTAGTTGATTGGATGATGATGTTGGAAAGTGAAAAAATTCTCCCCAAAATTGCGAACAAAATCTTGCACCATTAATTGCATAATTATTGCCTTACGGGATCTGTATACAGCATTATGGTTCAAGACTCTAAAATATAAATATAAAAAATATAAAACCTTAAAGCCATATATGGCGTAACTGATCAAAAAATATATTTTTGTAAAATACAAAATTAAGTAAAGAAATTTAGTTAATACATTGAAATTAAAACTTTTCGTACAATTCTGAACACGGAGAGCACCTTGTTTCAACTAATAATACGGTTTTATCTTCTCTGTAATGTGTTATTTAAATCTTTTGTATTTTCTTCCGAGTCGGAGAAAATTCAGAGAATCCAACTTAAATTGTGATATCTTTTTAACGCAATTGATTTAGATTTTGTAATTTACGGAAAAGTTCTATCTTTATATAAAGTAATGAAACAAATAAAAAGCTCTTATAATTTTAGTCTAATAATTTTCATTGTACATACGCCTATGGCTTTAATATGCCATAGATTCGCAGCTAGTTATGAGCCGGACATGATTTTTTCATACTTGGTCATAGCATATTAATTTAAGGTCAGCGCAGTTTTGATGCGCAATATACATTCTACCAAAGATGAATCAGCTGACAAGATATTTTTTTGATTTAATAGTATTAAACGCTGTTAAAGTTATGTGTCAGATAAGAAAAAAGCTAACAGATAGACAGACGGACGGATATGAACACTATATATAACAAAGACGTAGAAAAAAATATGGAATCCATGGTTTAATACTACCCTGGATCCGCATAATAGTTGCGCCTACGACCATGATAAATATGAAGTATCGTCCACTTATTCTGATATTCCCTCATCTGTTACGGTCATTTTTTAAAATGCCCCTGTTTTTTAGGGGGGTGGGTCAATTCATTTCCAAGGGAAAACCCTTATATTCTTAATTGGTTATATATAATGATTGTTTTCATTTCCACTAATTTTAAGCTAGTGGCCATCTCATTTTCAAAAATGGCTAAAGAACAAGGGACATCTTTCGAAAGTTGAGACAGATACTGTTTGACATTGGAGCTGATATGGATTAAACCATAGGTAATACATGTAATATGAAGCTGTAATCGTTTTTGTTTTACATACTCATAGAGGTGTAATGGCTAATCAGAAGTGATTTGAGTTCGAGGGTAGTAATCTGTCATTAAAACTTGGACTAGCCAGTCGCCGCTGGGAGCTGTGGGTGAAAAATTATTTTTGGACTCACTGTCAGAAGCCTTAATAAAACAATATATTTTAAACTATGTTTGTCCCAATGGTTTTACCTTCAAATAATCGAAGATCTAATCTATTCCAATTGAACAAACATGTTTTCCATATTAAACACACCCACACACCCACACCCACCCACACACACACAAATAAATAAAAAAAATAAAATACAAAAATACTCAAAGCAAAAACAGCAAATTAGACTTTCGTGTATTTTTCCTGGACAAAAAATCATAGTCATAGCATCGTTTTAAAAAAAAAAGGTGGGGGTCAATTTAATTTTTAAAAAATGACACTAGCTAAAAAACTAATAATTAAAAATGAATATGGTCAAATAAACATTTCTATTTCATGGAATAAGGGATGGGGGTCCAAGAACTTTAGGTACAACATATATAGATATATTTTTACTCAAACACTAAATCACCCCTATTTGGCAATGATGCAACTTAAATTAAGTGGAGGGGGGTAAAAACTTTTATGTTGGGGGTTGGAGGTAAGCAGATCCCCTCCCCCCGTCCGCATCCCAAATGCAATGTGCCTGTTTGATTCAATTCAACTAACATGACGAAAACGTTCATTAAGCTAACGACCAGCAAAATCTTAATAATACAAAATCTTATACTTGATTTATTTACCATAAAGACTTTATAAATTCTATTTTTATCATTGTAAATTACTGTTATAAACTGCTAGAAAAACATCCCATATCTTTTTCCCGCTAACGAATATTTATTTTGGGGTGTTCCGAAAGACGTTTTTTTTCGGTAGTGTGAGTCGTAATAAAATTCTTGTGGGGAAATTTGATTGGCTTAGGTTATACGGTAAACAATTGAAGTATGTAAATCAATGAAGGTGAGAAGTTGTTTCAGATCGATAAGACATTATAATTATAATGTTAAACTTTGGTTATGTCGTAAAATGAACGAGAAAATGGCACATGTAACTGTGGGGAATTAACGTCTTCCCCACAATTTCCAACTTTCCCCACAGTGTTGGTCTTATGACCAGTCCATTTCCTCGTAATGTAGGGATCTCGGGTACTCTCTAGAGAGAGAGAGAGAGAGAGAGAGAGACAGAAAGAGAGAGAGGAAGTGATAAAAAAAGTACGAGTATCTCTTCTTCGTTTAAATATGAACACAAACAATATTAACGCAAACTATATACGCCTGCATCTCATAAAAACTTTTAAGAGTCAAATAATACACAATTATTTACTATGTAATTCTCACATTCACCTGGAACAAAGATTCTTAGTGTGTTTACCATTACGTAATCTATCCGTCGATTACAGGCGGCCGAGAAAATTTATAGTGACACCGCGTGGTCATAGTAGAATAATTGATATATTAAAAACTTTCTACAACATGACAATTAATGGAAAATTATTATTGTCGAATATTTGAGATTAATATGTTGGCTTATCTTTGTTTTAAATTTGATGATGATACGTATTTATCTAAAAAGCTAACTATAGGTTTACGAGACCAACCATTAGTTCCATCGCTTGTTCACATTAATTTACACCGCGTGGTCGACCTGTTAAGTCTAATTTATAATTACGGGAATTTTCTTTAAGTAAATCGAATCTTTCAAAAATATCTTAAAATGTCTTAGGTTTGACTTTAGTACAAAACTCTGGGGCATTTATTTTACATGTACATCAATCATTCTTCAATTTTTAAATGTTCGTTGGCTCAATGTGTAATTTTACGTTTTATTTTGACAATTCATTGCATAAGAACTAGCGATCTGTCCTTACTTTACTAGCTTCAACCAATATTGATTTAATGCACAAGCTTTGCGCTTTTCACAAAACAAAATTACAAATAAATTCGTTTTCAACACAAATTTCACAAACAAATCTTTTTCATCACTGATTTTTACCATGGCTATACAACGTTTAAACTTTTAAAGATCATCTTATTAATCATAAGGATAGAGTTATAGTCAATGAAATGGATTAAACAGCGATAGGTAACTAGGCAAGTGTAAACCTTATAAGTGACTAGTGTGCTGCACAATGCCTTACATTATAGGTTTGATAGTGAAGTTAAAAAAATAATTCAAGATTTTAAAGCAATGAACTTAATTTGTTTTATAATTTATTCATAACCTGTAAATGATTAGTATAGTAAGTGTGCTATCATTGTAATTTTGTTCCATGATTAAATATCGGTAGCACGTTATACGGTAGACAGACTACTCGGCCCAACGACACCTCGGCCCGTGCTGGTTGACACCTCGGCCCTGACAGGTCGGCTCAAAATCATTGACACCTCGGCCCAAACCGAAGACTGCTCGGCCCAAGGAATAAAATTAAATTTAGTTTGTTTAAATTAGCTTAATTTTATTTTTTTGTATTTTCTATGGTAATGCAAATGTATACTATGTATATTTAATCACTATACGTTTACTATAGATATACGATAATTTCAGTATTTTCTAACAAACCTCAGCACAACATCAAATTACAATCCGTTGATTGGGAGGTAAGTGGTCTATTTATTTATTGACTTGGTTGTTTATTACAATGGAACATATCATACATTATTGATATATTTATTAACCATTTCTAAAAAAAAATGTTTGGTTGCCCTCTCCCCACAGACTGACTGAAATGGTCTCTGCAGTGCATTGTACAGTTGAATTTACTAAATAAATAATTATGTGTAAACCAATAGGTCTACACAGAAGTTTATGTCCTTGTCCACAAGATTTATTGATTTGTTCATTTTTGATATATTTTTTACTGTTTAGTTTCAGAAACTCATATTTTTTTCAAATCAATTCAATAAAATATCAACGATGGTTTCTTAAAGGAACTTTTCATTAACATCATTAGTAGTATAAACCGTCTGTTTGGGTGGGTCAACTGAGTGCACTTTTGGGGCTGGGGGGTAGGTTGGTCAACGGAGTGCACTTTTGGGGGTGGGGGGCATAGGTGGGTCAACTGAGTGCACTTTTGGGGCTGAGGGGGATAGGTGGGTCAAGGGAGTGCAGCCCCTTGGGGATAGGTGGGTCAAGGAAGTGCATATTAGGGGTGTCTGTGGGGGATAGCTTAGTCAATTCAGTACATATAGTCCCTAAATACGGGGTGTGTTTACACTGTGTTTACATTATATTATAAACGCTGCTACTACGATTCATAACTCTGCTACTACGATTTTGGCAAGACTCAAGTTTGTTTAGGGTCGTGTGCAAAAAAATATGCTTACCTATGCATTGTGACGTCATACACTTGTAAAATTAAAGTTTCATTTTTACTTTTGTTTCTAAGAAGTGAACTTACATTTTCAGAAAATGTAGGACTATCTTTTCTTTTTTCTTCTCTTTTACTATGATGATTTTCCTGCTGTGAAGCTTTTCTTGTTTAAAGCTCAATTTCTCTATGACCACGGAAGTAAACATCCTGATGCATTCTTACCATGTGAATGTTGAGAGCGGGTTCATTTTTGAAATCTTCTTTCTGACAGACATATTCTACATGTAAGTTTGTCTTATTTTTGTTTACATTTCTTATGAAGGTCATCTTTGCATTTAACCATGATTTATATGTAAAGTCCTATTTTGAATGTAAATGCTGTATTTATCCTCATTTCATGTGATTTACAGTTGTATAACCTGTATGTAACTCAGAGTACATTTAATATTTCTATGATGAATCATTCCATGATTGAATTTAAATCAGAAAAATATTCACTAAATTTTGGTAAAATACATGGTATCTTTTACATTTCTGTCCCTTTTGTCTGTAAATTATTGCTTTACTTACATTGTAAAATGAGGTTAAATGTGTATCACTGAATTGTATGATTTTTTCAGGATCATCTGAAATGTTATTTCACTGGATTTTTTAATGGATAGGCTTATTGGGCATATAGTTGGATATCTCTGGTAAGTTTGTCTTGTTTTTTTAAAAGTTTACATTTCCTATGAAGGTCATCTTTGCATTTAACAATCATTTATATGTAAAGTTCTATTTTGAATGTAAATGCTGTATTTATCCTCATTTCATGTGATTTACAGTTGTATAACCTGCATGTAACTCAGAGTACGTTTAATATTTCTATGATGGGTCATTCTATGATTGAATTTCAATCAGAAAAATATTCACTAAATTTTGGTAAAATACATGGTATCTTTTACATTTCTGTCCCTTTTGTCTGTAAATTATTGCTTTACTTACATTGTAAAATGAGGTTAAATGTGTATCACTGAATTGTATGATTTTTTCAGGATCAGCTGAGATGTTATTTCACTGGATTATTTAATGGATAGGCTTATTGGGCATATAGTTGGATATCTCTGGTAAGTTTGTCTTGTTTTTTTTTAATTGTTTACATTTCCTATGAAGGTCATCTTTGCATTTAAGCATGATTATATGGTTAATTTAATTACTGTGCAAAACTTATGTGATCTGTTGTCTCTAACTTACATTTATATAAGCACACCCTTATTTAACCTAAAATATATTAACACATGATTAAGGGATCTTCAGAATATTAATAAGTCCTTTTGTATAAATCATGATATAATTTTATAATTCATTATGTATGTTACCCATGGAATTCAGACTTACTAAATGGTGATCAAAGAGATACTAATTAGGAATGTAATAAGAGAAAAGAAGGAATTTACAAAAGATTAATTCTAAGTCCTTTACTTATTGTTTTGATTCTAAATAAGTGTGATATATTGCATACATATAATTTCATTATTACTTTTGTTTCTTGGTAATGAGCTTTTCAAAAAATGAAGGACTACATGTTGTACTGTGATGATGCTAAAAAATGTATTTTTCTGTATGCAGTACTGACAGTTATTAAACAAAAATTGAATCTGCTGTTAATAAAAAGTCTTTTAGTGTCTAAATAATTAATTTGATAATCATTTTATTTGTGATATTAATACAGTATTTGTGCTTTTTTTATTATCTTAAGATAACATGATGAACTTTTCTCATCTGGAGTTAATGTTAAAAACAATTTTTGAGATTAAAAACAAATATTTTCATGATCGTTTTTGACATTGTACATGTTGTATTTAAACATGCATTGTTTCATGCAGTACTCTGTCATATTAACAAAATGATTTTATTTCTACAGTCATCAACATGGAAGATAAGGTTTGTTCCTAACCATCTATAATCAATTCTCTATGAAGTTCAGACTGTCTGCTGTTCCTTTGGAAATACACAGTTAGTCAACCAACATAGAAACACACAAACTTGAAGGTAAAGATTCAATGAGATACAATTGTAATTTTTATTTATTTATTTTACATATGCATGTTTATATTTTTGAATTGATAAGTAAATGATATATGACTTTTTAAATAAAGACGGCTTGGTGGTCATGGTCATGTTTTGACTATATTGATCTCCTTTAGAAGAAGAAGAGTTCTATATAAATATATACAAAAATGCATGATTAAATTTTGAAACTAAAATGAATATTTTTTTTTGCCAAATAATAGTTAACAGATGAAGATAGCATATCTATAGAATAAATTAAATATGGCTAATTTGTTAACCCCCAGCTTCCTTAATAGCATAGTTGGTAAAGATAGCAAGTTTTAACACCAATTGCTTATGAATTCTGAATGTTCCATTTAATATTAACATTATATCACAGGGAAAGAATACTATAATGCGGCTCATTTGGATGATCAGAAAAGAAATCTTAATGACTCTCTTGACTATGTATAAAGATTTTAACCTTATAACTGATGTAAGATGATCTGATTGTGTGGAAATAAAATTTCCTGGTGTTTCTACTACCCAAGATCTTTTTATGAGTGTATGGAACTACTGTAAACCTTCTCCTGTATATAAAAATAATACCTTGGAGCATGACACTTTGTTCATAAAAGGTACTTTCAATATCATTTCTATGAGCTTGTGTTCTTTCTTTTTAATAATGTAGTAATGAATTCAAGTGTTATATCTCCTTTAAACTCATTAATATGTATGCTTCCAAAATCATAGATCTGTCTGTATTAAGTTTCTTCAGCTCTTTGAACACAAATATACCCTGATTCAATCTTATGAGGTAACCATCATAGAGACATCATAGATGATTATCAGAGTGTATATATCACAATCTTGACCATAAGGTCAATTTAAATGGTCAAAGGCACAAGAAATGAAAGTGAAAACTTTTTTTTTAAAAATCAGAATACATAATTTTGTAATAAACAAACACTGGAAAGTTACTCTCATAATGAGCCTTAATGTCTTCCAAGAGTTCAGTTTGGACTTCCTCCATTAACCCTTGTATATGTTGTAATCCTTGTATCTTCAATGGTTTTGTGGTCTAAAAATCCTGTGTCTTTAACAATCTTTTTTTTCTGACAACTGTTTTCTCTTATCATCTATAAACTTGAATTCTTCTTTAGTCAAAGGTCTTTCAGGGTAATCCAAGTAATTCTTTCCCTCGTTTGGTAATAAATGGTTATATTCCTCATTAGCTTCCTCTGTAATCAATGGTCTTTCTATGTAATCTCTGACAACATTAGGATCACCCTTTTCTGGACATAATTGGTTATATTCTTCTTGAGAAATGATCTCAATAGTGCCATCTTTTTTTATTTTAACTGGTATACCTCTGTCTACATCTTTCTCTGAAAGAATTCTCTCTCTAAACTGAATTTTACTCATTCCTTTACTCTTTTCTTTACTAGAGGTGTTACCCATGGTTAATATGAAAAGTCAAAATCTGATGTAACACCTTGTATTTATACCCTTTTTGTCTATATTTAGAATTCCATCAAGCTTATATTATATAACAATTTTTTTTTTCAACTAAGCGTTTTTTTTTTATTTTTCAGGATTCTCTAGTGAGGCCTTATGGAAATGATATATGTCTACTCTCAGAATGGTGAAAGACTATCAGATTATGCAAAGACTAACAGAATATCCTCTCTTGGAACACTGAAACAAGAAAATCAAACAGGAGATGGATGGAGGATTTAAGAAGCACATAGATAAATATGATTTCCAACTAATTTAATCAGTATTATCATAGACTGTTGTTTACAGGATGACAAAGAAAGGACTCAGGATTGTATCTTTCACTGTCAGACACTGACTATGGATAAAGGGTAATCATTTATTAAACTGAGATCTAGTCAAATCAAAAGCAAATGTATTGAAAATATGATTTTCTGATAGCATGAACGCTTTAAAAATTAATTCTCACAGACCTCAAAGTATCTGAATGTGACTTTTATTTTTACCAATTCCTATTGAAGACTGTTGTTATGTATGAGAAGTATACATTTAAACCTTTTATTTTTCATCTTATTTCTATAACCCCCTAGAAATTACACAGATATTCAGATGCTGGATTTAATATTATTATTTAACTTTCCTGGAATGGTAAATATATTTTGTTTGTGTATGTATCATGTTTAATTTTGAATTTAAAATTGGTCTCAATAAGACCCCCAATAAAGATGCAAGTGTCCCATAATCTGTGGTTTAATAATATATTGAATATCTTTATCATACCATATTCATCATACTAATTACATATAGAATGATTGTAGGAATACACTTTGTTGTTTAGGACACTTTGTCAAGGTCAAAGCATAAGGTTATTGAGATAACTACCTTTGACAATAATTTGTCACTTACAAACTTCACATCATAAGTACACAGATGAAGAATCAATAAGATATTTCTATATAGATTTTTTGGATCATTTACTTCTGGGTTAAAGTTAGTTACTTACTGAGATTAGGCTGATTCGAGTCCTTTATGCAATAACTTAAACATTGTGTGATAACTTATAGACTTTATAAAAATTAGGTGCAAATTCTTAGGAAAGGATTGAAATGTTAATCAAATGTACAATGTTCAAGGGTGTTTATATGACTATTACTATGTAATACCTAGGGTTTCTGTAAAATCCTATATTCACTACTTAGATAAAGACAGGTATAATATATATTTTAAACTATGATGAAGGGAAAAAAAAGTTCAAAAGCTCTCCCTTTCATATCTTTCATATTCTGTCAAACACAACAATAGATAAATTGCAGTCATTTAACAAACTGAGGTCTAATCAAATCCTAGAATTGATATTGTGCTTTTCTGATAGTATGAGATCTTCAAAAAAAAAAAAAAATAATTCCCAGACTTCAAAGTATCTAAATGTGACTTTTATTTTTACCAATTCCTATTGAAGACAGATGTTATGTATGAGAAGTATACATTTAAACCTTTTATTTTTCATCTTATTTCTACAACCCCTAAAAGCTAGCTTTGGTGTAATTACTACTTTCCTGGAACTGTAAATAAATTTTGTTTGTGTATGTGTGTGTCCTATTTTGAATTTAATAGGTCTCAATAGGACCCCCATAAAGATTTAAGTGTCCCCTGATCTGTGATGTAATAATATCTTGAATATTTCTATCAACCATTAGACTTCATGCTTACTACAAAGAACAGGTTAGAGTAATACAGTTAGTTTTATAGGACACTTTGTCAGGGTCAAAGCATGAGATTTTTGAGATAACTACCTTTGACAATAATTTGTAACCTGCAAAATTCACATCATAACTAAAGAAAGATTCGGAGATTTTTCGATCATTTTTCTCCTGGGTAAAATTTAGTTGTTGCAACTTTAACATTTTGTGATAACCTAGAGACTTTACATCAGCTCTATTGGATGGCATAGCATATTCTTTGGAAAGAATTGAAATGTAAATCATATGCACTATATTCAAGGATGTTTAAAGACTATTACTATGTAATACCTTAGAATTCTGTAAAAGAAATTTATTATCACTGCGTAGATAAAGACTGGTTGGAATAATTTATGTTTTGAAATAAGGTTTAGGGAAAAAAGTCAAGAATGTGGATATGACTTTTATTCAAATGGTGCATTACAGCAACTCTGGTAATTTACATACCTTCAGTCATAAATACATGTAGATACATGTAAGTATTTGGAAGACTCCTCTAGATTTTGAAATTTTTAATTCAAAAGTATAGATTTTTTATTTTAAGTTTGAAAGATTAAATGGCAGCATATCATTTGCTTGTGAATTAAAAAATAAATCCAAACATATACATCTTTGGATGATAATTGTAGCATTTTATCAATTTCTGGACTTCGGTCTTGATATAATCCTTATATGTCCTTAAAATTTTAATGACTGTCTTTTAGTTTTAGTTGAATTAGTTTCTTTTCTACATGTGAAAATTACATCATCCAAAGAAGTTCTCCATCTGTATGTTATATGAAGAAGACAATTTTCATCACAGTGAAAGAGATTGTTTTATTAAACATATTGCATTGATGCATAAATATACTTTTAGATTTTTAATAGCTAGGGTTCATATTTCTTAATATGGAATGCTAAGTACTGTTGATTTCAATGTTTTGTGAACAAAGACATACTAGTAGAAAAAAAATTGTACATGATGTGTTAGAAAAGCATGTGTAAACCTGATGACTTTATATTTGCTGATTAATTCAATTATAAGTTTCATCTTTGTTACATTGTAAACATTTCTAAGTAGGGCACACATCAGAAACTCTTAAAATTCTGACTATCAGGGTTTAACACAACAATTCCAAATGATTTTTGGACGCTTTTTATGTATCAAAAAAAAAAGACAAAACAGAATGTTTCTTAACAGATGTTCCAATGGAAAACAACCACAAAGAAATTATTTGATATGTTCTTTATGTGATTCATATAATATGTATTTTGAAATTGTACCCTAACATTTATCTTTTGCATAAATACATTTTTTGTGAAGAATTTCTCATAACTTTGAAAAAGTAGTCTTATTGTATAATATGGTTAAGGTGATTCCACCCTCACAATTTTATAGGTTCAAAGTACAAAAACTGCATTTATTTTCATTTATTATACTTTAAATTTTCCATTTATTGCAAAAAAATGTATAGGTCATCATATTATTTAAGATGCAAAACATAAATAAATAGAAGTGTATGTCAACATAAAAAAATCGCACATTTTTTGTAAATGGTATTATGAAAATATGTAAAAACTGGTTAAAATGCATAATTCTGATGCTGAGTGTTCCTAAATACTTCCTACTTGAAAGATACTTTTGAATTGTGAATATCAGGGAAACTATTTTTCAATAAAGCAAATGCAAAAGCAAATTGTCTACCATTGCGTCGACCTGGTGTATTGATAATGTAATTCAAGTCATTGACCTTTCGTTCAACTTCAAAGGGGCCAAAGTATTTAGCACGTAAAGGCTGACCTGGGATTGGTAGCAAGACAAGGACTTTGTCTCCTGACTGAAATGTTCTAGTTTTTGTACGTTTGTCATACCAGGTTTTCATTTTGTCTTGACTTACCTTTAGATTCTCTCTGGCTAGCGTCCAAGTCTGACTGAGCCTCTCTTTGAACTTTGCTACATAGTCTAATAGATTTGTCTCACTCTCTTCAACCAACCATTTCTCTTTCAGCAATTTCAATGGTCCTCTCACAGTGTGACCATATACAAAATCAAAGGGACTAAAACCAAATGATTCTTGTTTTGCATCCCTAACAGCAAATGAAAGAAAGGGGATTCCCTGGTCCCACTCTTTCTCATTCGACAAACAATAGGTTCGAATCATAGTTTTCAAGGTTTGATGAAACCTCTCAAGAGCCCCCTGGGACTCTGGATGGTATGCACTGGATGTATGATGCTTAACCCCTAACTCCTGCATTACCTGTTT